GCTTGTGGGTTGAAAGTTCCGATGGCCAGGGTCCTGTTTTAAGACAGTTGCCGGGGGGTGACTTAAGGGCTGGTTTTGTCAGGGATATTCATGATAACCCGTGCACCTTTAGTGGTCAATTGTGGCATTGCGCTGAACCTTGGTGTGGCAAGGATAGGTGGGTGATTGCTGCCTATGCTCCTCGGGGTATATGGAAGATTCTGAACGAATACGCTCGTGAGCTTGAGAGCTTGGGGTTCGATTCTAAAGGGTTGGATCACCTTTTCGCTGCAGAGCGTGCTTCGATTTCAAAGTTTAATGCTGAGGGTGATGAGGACTTGACCTCTGAGGGGCTTTGGGAAGTTGAGTTTCCTTGTGAAGTGTTGAAGCCTGGTTGGCGTGAGCACGTTTTAAGAAATCACCTGTCCTCAGCTTTGGCGTGTAAAGCCCTTGTGAAGGAGCTTAGCTGTTTTGGAAATGATGATGTAGGCTACGAATTGATTCGGACCTTGAAGTCGGTTGAATGCCAGCGCGAGTGGTATGAGGGACTTCTGTGGGATGACTTTGTCAGGAATTCTGGGAGTATGTTAAAGGCTTTGAATCAGGATGTTCCTCTGAACCCGGAAGACCAAACCAGCCCTGCCGAAGCTTTTCTCCAAACGAGGACAGTAAGCTTAGCTGAGGCAAAGGGTGAATTGGTGCTATGGATACCTTCGGCTACTGAGGAAGTTGTCTCTTTGGAACAAACGAATGAGGCTGTTGAGCGCATTGTCGTGTCGGACATTGAGCGGTTGATTCAAGAAGGAAAAAGGGTAACCCAGGTTCCAGGAAAGGCAGTCCTAACCAGGAAGGCTGGTGTTGGGAAACGCCGATTCAGGTGTGTCGCGTGTGGGAACTACATCCCCACTGGCTCTCCTGATTCCAACAACCTTTATGCGAGTGGCGTTGAAAGCTTGACTGTCAGAACGGCATTAGGTTTTGCTGCTTACCGTGGTTGGGCAGCTTTGAGCGCCGACATAAGGACGGCCTTCCTTCACGCGCCGTTGGACGGCGAGCTTGAGTCCGAAGAAATTATCATTGTCAGGCCTCCATCTATTCTTGTAGACATGAAAATTCTTTCCCCGAATCATCGATGGCGCGTGCGTAAAGCACTGTATGGGTTACGACAAGCTCCCTTGGCTTGGGCCCGGTTCCGAGATAAGTCATTGCGGGTGCTGACCTTTCAGTGTGACGGTGCATGGTATGCCTTGCAGCAGGGTGTCAGTGATGATTCGCTTTGGTTCATCACTAAAAGCGAGATTGCCGAGGATGACACTGAGCGTTGGCATGGTATCTTGATCATTTACGTTGACGATCTTTTGGGTTTCGCTTCATCGGTGATCCTTAGTGCCCTTTTCGATGAAATACAGAAGCTGTGGAAGCTTTCGGAACCCGAGTGGATTCGGGAGGAGGCTGCCACTAAGTTCTGTGGGTTGGAAATCCAGGCCCTACAACGAGGAGGGTATCGCATATCGCAGGTTTCCTATTTGCAGGAGCTTTTTGCAAGATACGACGTCACAAGCAGTGCAAGTGCGCCCTTGAGTAATTGGACTGATCCGGAAAATGAGCAACAGGTGCAGTTGGAGACTGTCCGGAAGGCGCAAGCCCTGACAGGTGCTTTGCTTTGGGCTTCGTCGAAAACCAGACCCGATATTGCTTTTGCTGTCAGTAAACTTGGGCAATATGCTGTGAAGGCGCCAAGCATTGTGATTGAGAGCGGGCATCAAATCCTGCGCTACTTGTATGGTACGGCGGACCTGTGGCTGGAATACCAGAAGCCAAGCGACAATTCCTGGCTTGACGCTCCGGTTCCTCGAACTTTAAATACTCTGGAGTTGTACACCGACGCTTCCCATGCCCCTAACGGGGGGCGATCTTGCCAAGCGATGGTCATCCTATGGGGAGGAAATGTGTTATGCTGGGAATCCTGTCGTCAACCGTTTGTGACTCTGTCCTCTACGGAGGCAGAGCTAGTTGCAGTCACCGCCGGAATAGTTGCTGCAGAATCAATTGGGGGCATCATTGAGGAAATGATCGAGTCCGACATCACGGTCTCTGCCTTGTGTGATAACCAGGCAGCGGTAAGGTCGTTTGCTGTTGGAAGTCTCGGGTGGCGTAATCGACATCTTCGCATGAGAGCTGCAGCTGGGCGTGAACGTATAGATGCGGGATCTCTAGTAGTCACCTATGTTCCAGGATCGATTCAGCTCGCAGATATAGCTACGAAACCACTGTCTCGAGCTAGGATTCTTCAGCTTGCGGAACTAATGAATATGCGAATGAGACTTTCGCCAGCTGGGGCAGATGATTCGATCCGTACAGTCAGCAGGTTGTCTTCCAGCTTCGGATCCCAGGGATCTGTCTCTCCCCGGACCTTAGCGGGTCTTGCATTGGTTGCTGTGTTGTCTGGTGTCCGAGCTCAACCGGCATTGCGAGTTGAAGAAAGGATTGAATGGATTCTTTGGTTCTTCGGAGTTTTGGTGGGTTTGGTTTTGCTTGCTTGGGCTCAGTGGTTCCTTGGTTTAGGTTTCAGAGGCTTTTGGCGGGGGGAACAGTTGCGGGAATTAGTAGGCGATGCTGTCAGTCTTGGGGGTTTGGAGTTTGCTGCCGAGGCTCAACAGGACTTCGGGGTTGGAAATGAGGTTTCCCTGGCTTCTGAAGTTGAAAGTAGGGCTGGTTCTGAAGGTGATGGGTCTGAACAGTTCTCTGAAACTGAATTGCTGGAGGCGCAGCGCAAACTTCAGGAACGGGAGCGCAGCAGTCAGCAGGTTCCTCCAACTCCCGATGTGCAGATTGGGGGGAGCAATAGCAGTCAGCAGGTTCCTCCAAGTCCCGATGTGCAGATTGGGGGGAGCAATAGCAGTCAGCAGGTTCCTCCAAGTCCCGATGTGCAGATTGGGGGGAGCAGTAGCAGTCAGCAGGTTCCTCCAAGTCTCGGTGTGCAGATTGGGGGGAGCAGTAGCAGTCAGCAGGTTCCTCCAAGTCTCGATGTGCAGATTGGGGGGGGCAGTCGCAGTCTGCAGGTTCCTCCGAGTGGTGTTGAAAGCTTGACTGTAAGAACGGCATTAAGCCTTGCCGCTTACCGGGGTTTGGCAGCTTCGAGCGCCGACGTACGGGCGGCATTCCTTCACGCGCCGTTGAACGGCCAGCCTGAGTCCGAAGAGATTGTCACTGCGCAGTCTCCATCCATTTCCGTGCTGAATCTCCTTGACTTAGAAGATGACCCTACTCCAGATGATAGGCCCCATAGAGCTGTAAGTCCCCGGGTTCCTGTAGAAGGTCAATTTTTCCTTGGGGAAGGGTGGTCTTCTTCTGAAAGCGAAAGCGGAGATTCGACAACTGAGCCGTCGATATTTTCTGTGTCTAGCGGAGATGCTGCTGTCGATGAAGAAGTATGGGTTATTCATGATGCCGAGGCCAGACTTGCCCAGGCAGACGAGCCACAACCTTTAGGAGTGAACTTCCGAGCTGAGCATGAAGTGCTAATAGGGACCTATGCTGACGACGAGGTTAGTATAGCGCTTCAGGGATGGTCCCAGGCTGAGGTTGAGACTATTGTTACCGGGCTGAATGAGGGTGAATGGACGTCGTTTCATGCAATGCTGGCACAGACCAGCAATCAAGAAAGTCAGAGTTCCACTCAAGTTCAGGGTTCGCAAAGTGTGGTTTGGGTCGTCGGGGTCGGGGTCGGTTTATCTCTTGTTGGGGCATTCGTTCAGTTGTGGAGCGTTAGTTTTGTGGCGTGTTGGTTCTTGCTGCTTTGGTGTAGGAGTAAGGGGGATTTTGCAGGGACTTTTGGGAGGATTTGGGGTGTGCGGCCAAGGAGTGATAGGCGCTGGGTCGTACTTCTCTATGTTCTCTGGTTAGTCCTGGGCGGCATTCTTCCTAGTTCTGCAGAGGTAGTAACCTATGGGGATGAACCGGTTTCTTTCGGCAGGTGGGATGAACCGACTGGTAGCTCCACTGGGGTTGGCGATGTGTGTCTGGAGGATGAGCAAGGGTCTAGCTCTGAAGAAGCCGGGAGCTGGGACTGGTGGCTGTGGGTTGCCTGCGTGATTGGAATCTGGGAAATCGTTCGTGCCTTATCTCTTCGTGTGTGCAGAAGTAGAAAGACAGTGCAGGATCAGGCAGTCAGCGCCGAAACGGTGCCGTGGCCTTTGCATCCAGGTATCCCTCACCGAGCGAACATCTTGTACTGCTACTGGCGTGCAGGATACGTGTTTGACGTACAAGAATATCCTGAAGCGGTTCAATCACGATTTTATGGCCTCCTAGGCTCTCACCTTGAGAGGCGTGACAGAGATGGCTTGTCCTCCACAGACTCTTCTGATTGAACTGATTTTGGGGCATTCTGAATAAGATCAGCGGTGTCCTAAGTTGCGGATGCTGGCAACTGCCAAAAAAAAACCAAAGGAGACGAAGACTATCAGCTGTTATCTCCAGAATATCTGGGCTTTTAATCCTCATGAAGCTAAGTCTTGTGGGGGGTGTAGGATCATAGCTATAGTTTTCGGTCTCTGCTTGCATGCGTGGATGCCTCTTGATCCGACATCGAACTGCTCCAAAGGAGAAAGGGCTGCCGAAACAGAACGGCCTGTTCGAAATAGGGTCAAACATTTGTACAACGAGGCTTTTGTCCACTTTTGCAACCAAAGGACGATCCATCTGGGCTCGGGCATATAGAATGCTGATGTTTTCCTGGTGATGCATTCCAATCACCTGAGTCTTGGAGTCTCAGGTGAGGGGGAGTGCGTGAAGCATCCTGGCCGCTCAGGTGGAGACGTTGTTGCGTTACCGAGGCTGTCTTTTGTTCGAAAAAATCGAGGCGCGATCCGAGGGTCTAGGATTCAGACTTAGGCTGCCTAAGCTTTCTGGTCCCCGTAGGGTTCTGTATTTCACGTACTTAGGAGTGATACGTCTGATACGTCACGAGGCTTCGCAGCGAACAGTCATTCTAGCAGCAATAGCGCTGCCAAAGGTACGCCTTGAGCTTTTCCGAGAGCTTCTTCGGGAGCTCGAGCTCATGCCACTGCCGCTGCTCCGGCTGCGGCTTATTCGCTCCGAAGACAAGAGGTCGAAGCACACAGAAGCCTTATCAGATCTTATCAGTTTCTAAGAGGTTCCCTTGAGGTTCTCGCACGCATAGGGGGCTTCTTGGAGCATGTGTTTTTTTTGCTACGGGGATGCCCTTCAATAAGGAGATGTCAATGTTCATGCAGAACTCATACTCAGCAGTGATGCAACTGGGGAGCTTACCATCGAGAATTACTATGACATTGCAATAGGGTTCCGAGTCATGCTACAGCGAGAGAGAGAGAGAGAGGGTGACAGACACTTAACATCACATCATATGAATCATATCATATAGTCCGTTGAAGTTACGTAACGATATAGGTACAGCGAGTTACCATGTCCCATCTCGTCATGTGGATTGTTGCAGCTTCGTCCTCCGGCTACTCGCGGCTGTGTCAAAAAACATCGGCAAGCAAACGCCGCAGACACTCGGCAGACCCTCATTTTCAACGCACAAACTTCTCTTACATTCGTGAATACTCCCGTTCGTGTGTTAGAGGTGCTGATCACGTTCATCATGTGCACCGAAAAAGCCCCCAGTTTGGAGAACAATGTGCAGATGTTGTAAAGCTGTCCAGTCGAACCCATGCCACAGCAAAGGGCGCGCAGCACGTGAAGCCAAACGGCATTTGACGTTTTGGAACTCCACGTTGTCTGAGCATGGGCACACGAATGCACGACGTGTGCGCAAAACGGATCAAACGACGCTTCGAGAAGGCTCGAGACACACGGGTATGGCGGTTACTGCCTTGATGTTTAGAGTCCGTCCTGGAGCCCTACCCTCACGCAGGACTCACACAGGGTCATACGCAGCTATCTTGATTTAAACTAGGTGTTGACATTAATTTAGGGCTTCCATCGGCTTCATTCTGCACTCCCCGAAAGCCCGTGAGTTGGCTAGATTGATGCTAAACAACCTTTGCTCCTTTGATGCAGGACACGACCTCGCGACCGCCCAGGCTGCCAGCAAAACCGCTACAGCCAGCCGCAGCCGCCACAACCACTCCGCCGAAACCACTCAACAGTGTGGCAGCTGCCATTGCCTTTGATTCGCACGCAGAACAGATGCGTTGCTCGCCCTTCTGACAAACTCTTCAACTCACTTGATATTCACTTGATGATGACCCCTAGGAGATCACAGAAGGACTCAGCTGCCGGCGCCAGCCACCCCTCCGGCAGCACTTCCAGAGACTTCCACCGCTCGGTTCAAGGCCACAGGTCCGGTGATCTCGTTGTGCACCCAGGAATAACCCTCGAAAAACTCAAAGCAACAGCAACAAAAAACTGCAAAACTCGGGAGCCAACTCCTAGGCGAATGATGACAGCACACTTGTTCTCTGAAGGCACTGCATCCATGTCAAACTGTCAAAACGCCTTCGTCCACTTAAGAAAGCCATAACACAAACTGGAGTACTCTGGTAAAACTTTCTTGTTACAGATGTCGTTCACGGATATTGGTCGCAATCTGACAGTGGGGCGGTGTCACTGTCTACAAGACACTACTGGACGTCACTTGCCAGTGCCTGCGCCATCCATTCGCGCATCAAGCCGTAGCCTGGATGTTTGGATGTTTGGTGGCTCTGCGCAACGTATCAAACGTCTCTACAGTCTCTGATTCATTCTGATTCGTGGAAAGATGTCTTGGGGGCGGCCCGAAAAGACAGGTCCCGGACCTGCCACAAAACATTCGATCGGGGGCTTCTCTGAAAAGAGTACTCCAAGGATACTCGGGTCTCTCTGCGGGCTTCTCTGGGGTGAGCTTCTATCAGGAATGGCACACTCCAGGGACTGTGTGTGGGCTTCTCTGGGCAGACGGTGTTTCGCGCGCGGCAGGTGTGGTGATTGCTGGTGAAAGGGTTCTCCTGCCGCTTCCATCCTGCGTCCGGCTGATCTTGTCAAGACACTGCCGTGACAGTGCAAGCATAAGTAAACACCACCTGGACCTGCATCCTGGCCCGGGCAAAGGGAAGTGCAGAGGGGAAGCGCGAAAAAAGACGATGAGCCACGTTCATGATAGAAGCGCATCTGTGGCACGTGCGCTCAGGGTTCCCATGTGCGTGCAGGACTTGCATCATCAAAGCCAGTCTTCAGAGACCTGCAGATCAGCATCCGCGCAGCACAGCTGTTCACATCGCTCCGCGTAGTTCAGAGCAGCGCTCGTTTTCAGATCGTCAGCACAATTGAGAAGCAAACCCGGCTTCAGAACACTCTGCTAGGCTGGTTTTGACAAAGGTACCGGAAACCTACCACAGCAACTAACATCATTGTCGTCATTGATAAGGATTTAATCGGGCCGTAGGTGTATGGGGAGCACAAAGCAGGTTTGCCTATAATGGGCGGACCCCCACCCAAGTGACCACCACCTCCACTGACCACCACCCCACACACCCCCCATGCACCCCCCCCCGCCCCCACCCCGCCCAACCCGCCCCCACCCCGCCCAACCCGCCCAACCACCTTCACCCTTCCAATAGACTGGCCTCCACCTTCCCACCCTATTTCGCTCCAAGCTTTTCAAGCACCTCTCAGGCCCCCAGGCGGGTCGCGTATCGCAAGAATTAAGAAGGAACTGGAAGCTCTTGCAATGCTAAGGTGGCGACCAACGAATATTGCCTGTGCTGGAAGTACCGGACTTTGCAAGAGACAAAGCGCTTAAGCATCTGGGCCTCTGCAGGCCAACCCGAAAAAGTTCTGCCAAGATCTGCCCAGCTGCTGTAGGAGCAGTCGGACCGAGCATCAACGCCATGCCACCTCCTGGATGTGACATACATGTCAGACCATGTCAGAGGGTTGTCATGAGCTGTCAAAACGAGCATAATAGAGCAGCGCGCATTCTCAAAGCAACTATCCTGCTGCACCAACGACAGCACCACGCATGGCAGCTGAGGCTATGCTTGCAGTTTGATCTGCCACATTGCCTGACATTGCAACAGAAGGGCATGCTGGATAATACCGGCTATACAGAATGTAACTTGGCTTTGCCGAGCTCCAGCCTCGTTTCTCGGCCAATGTTATTTGCATTGCCTGAAGCGGCTCAAGCGCGACTGCACCATGAGAGTCTGCAAGAGGCGACACCATTCTATCCGCTGCTACTACCCACCCAAGCTGCTACATCTCCTTCCGGCAGACCCCCAAAGGCCTTTAAAGTCATTGTTACAATCAAACCACCGATGAACTCCAAATACCCGTAAAGACACTGATGGATCAAGCAAACAGCAGTAGCAGTAGCCGCAGAAAATGGGCGAATAGGAGTAGCAAGCGTTGTAGCGATACTCAGCAATAGCAGTTTGGAGCAGCTGGAGCTGATCTTCACACAATCTTCGCCTCAACGGCAATGGTCGACACGACACCGAAGACTGCTCCCTGGTGCATGCTCATGCCGAGGGATAAGCTGGCCGGAATGCCAGCTTGCCTTAGATCTGTGCAAGGAGAGGTGAGCCATGTTGTCAGATCTCAGATCTCCATACCTCAATAGTAACTGCCCGATACCTGCTCTGCCTGATCATAGCAGTGCCGTATCGCTTAAGGCTTTGCCACTTTGCCTTTGCCTTGTCTAAGCGCGCAAAAAGAGGGGGCGCTCAGCGGAGTGATTGCGGAGTGAGTGCATTGGGAACATGTTTATGTTCTTTCCAAAATCGACTCACCTGTAGGACTGGAGCCCGCGTGGGGAGACCCAGCAGGCAACTCACACCATGGGGTGCAGTGTGTCTCAGCACGCCTCTGCATCAGCACCGCAGCATTTCTAGCTTAGAAAAAAATCAAGACACTGCGTGGTAGAGTGTGAAGTTGCCTTAGAAAGACACCAAGAGTATCACGCTTACCATTCCAGAACAGCTCACCTCCGCTCAGTATCGCTCATGCCCACGCCCCAGTAAACTTCGAGACGATTCGACAATGGTCGACACAACTTGCACTCTTGCCATGTAATGCACATTCTTGCACCTTGCTGCACAATGCCGCACAAGCTGCGCCATGGCATCGCTAGCAGAATGGTCAACCTGCTGCTGTTGCATTAGGGCCTGCCACTGCAGTTGCATGAGTTGACTCCTGGCGCAGGCTACAATACCGACGAGCTAACAATGGAGTTGCGTGCAGGCGCCTCATGCCGCTGTAACGCAGCAGCAGTCAAGGGCGTGCTGGGAGGCTCCACGGGAGCTGGCACAACCTCAGACGACTCTTCTTGATAGCACCGCACATCTGCCGATGCGGACGAATGACAGTGGGACTGAGATGGAAACATTGGCTCCGCTAGCTGGCAGAATTTCTGGAGGTCTCACATGCACCACGACTGGCGGCAAGACCTGTCCAACATCAGATATCACCTGGGTGGGAACACAAATCAACCCGCGATACTGCCCAAGAGCTGCTACAACTCTACAACTGATTGAGTTGAAATGCAGCCACCCTGCCACAGGCCCATTGTGATGGTGATGGTGGTGGTGGTGAACAAGTCCCCTGCTGAATGCCCGACGGATGCGAATCTTGAAATGAGGAGCCTTCCTCAGCACGCTCACTATGAGCGTTGTCGACATGGACCCACAAGACAGAAGTGTCACGACTGTACACTGCACATGCGCAGCACATGCGCAACACTGCGCAGCTGTGTCACCTCAACATTCGGCTCTGCGGCCCTTGGGCCTGACAGCAAGAAAGCCACACAAAGCCACACAAAACCACAACTCAGTCACCCTTCTTGGGCACTTGACTGCTGCTTTGTGCTATATGTGCTAGCGGTGGAAACATTTCACCTCGTTGAAGCGTGTTCGAAGCACTGCCTCGGCCGAAGCACGAAGATGCCGACACAGGGTTTCCCACTAGTTTCCCCTCATGTTTGGGACTCCCACACTTTGACACAGATATACACAGACTGCATGGCAGGCCAGCTGCTACGCCGTCAGGGTCTGCATACAGTGGCGCTTCAGCATCGACAATTGCTGCACGAGGGGCCCTCGGTTTCTACATGGTTCAAGGAATTCCGGAATATCAGGTTGCACAGCACACGCCTGGGCACATCCACATCACAAGGCTTTCCAAAAAGTCCGTGCAAGCTGGTGTCACAGTGCTGTGGTAGTGATGCCCTGGAGGCCCTGGAGCATGGTACCTGCAAATGACTGTGCACATCTCGGAGTCTGTTTTGAAGAGCTGGA